TCAATTTAATAAGTGGATTAATTTTTTTCCAGGTCAAAATGTCACTATAAGAACTCCAGAGTGGTGTAAACAATTATAATTAAGGAAATTGTGTGGCCTTGGGTTTGGAGAGAGTTAAAAATTCTACACTTTATTTTTAAACAGATTATAGTACAAATTACCTAGTTATGGACCACAGACTGGATGAATAAATGGCCTAAATTTCTCACCATCTCATTAATTGTGATAAAGAACGTGTCCATAGAGCTTCTGCCTACAATTTGTTTTCTTTCAACTGTTCAGTGGCAAAGGATGTCCCCAAGGTTGTGGACAATTTGAGAAAGTGTATTTATTTAGTTTGTTAGCTTCGCCGACAGGCAGGGACCTTGCAATAGCTTGCGCCAATTACTGCGGGCCCTAGTATACCCACCCATCCCACCCCAGGGGAGGATGTCCACCACACAGTGATCTCGTGCGTGGGAAATTTACGTCTTCTACCCCAACCTGGACCTACGGTTCATTCGTCCTTATCAGAGAAGATTAGAATGTCTAGCCACTTCTTGATATTATAGAAAGGTAGCACATTCTCCTCAGTAATTTTAAGACCTTGAGTGTTGGTCCGGCCACTCAACAGTCCAGCGCTCTATCCATTGAGCTAACTGGGAGGCGGTAAAAACTTTTGTTCGTTTATTTGTTTTTGTCTTTGTTGTCATCATCACTTTTTCTTCCATTTTGACAGGTTATTAACTGACCAGCAGGTTAAAGACATGGGAATTAAGATGTTACCAGGTTACAAAGATCCGTATGGTAAAAGGTAAATCGGTGCAACCTTATTAACTTCAGTTCTCTGTAACTCAGCTGAAATCAAACGAAAAATGATTTGTCATCAGTTGATAATGTTTTCCTATTTTTACCGTTTTCCTATCAGTAATTAAACATGTGAAAAGTTGCTCCTTGTCGGAAAAAAAAAAAAACAAACAAACTTACGCACATAGAAACTTTCTCCATGTCCATTTGTTGACTTCGTGGCGGATAGTCCAGCGATGAGTGTCATTGCGAGGCTCTCATTCACGATGTATTAGTACGAGGCCGTCGATCTCCTGATCACAATCTGCCTTTGTTGCGCATGCTCAGCGGCGAACGCTTTACAATTTAGGCGAAGGGTTCATGTTTGTTGCTCGTTATGTATACTATTATAATCAGCAGTAAAAAAAGTGTGTTGTGTGGTGAAAGGGGAGGAAGATGGTACATCGCCAACCAAACTGCCACAGTAGTGTTCATGAGTTTGAGGTGGAAGAATTATTATTTCACCCTTGGGGAGAGAGGAAGTTTCCGCCCAAGGCCCGTTAATATGCTTCGAGGTCTCTAATCATTGCAAGTCTTCAGTTCGTTCATTCCCACCAGTTCGACATAAGTAGAGACAAGGGGAATCCTGATTAACCTCCTCTGTCACCTTATTTTTCTCTTGGTATGATCGTTACAATCATTAACATTTACTTTTCATGCGGCGATTATTTTTGTCCCTTAGGCCGCTAACCATGGGAGAAATCGGATGCTTCTTGAGTCATTACCTAATTTGGGAGGAGGTAGGTAGCGCCCCAAAAGTGTAACCGCCCCGAAACCCTTCCTTCTTCTTTCGCTCAGCGCTACTTTCGTGGCCTGGTTTCTCACTAGAACAGCATAGATTCGATCCAGACTGAGCAAGAATATGGATAAGGACAAAGTTTATAGTAAATTTAACCGTTTTATTTTTGGAAAGAGACGTTCTTTTTTTCGTTTCTTCTCGAGACTGGGACAAAGAAAAAAATTTCGAGTCCCACCGTGGAACCGAACCTCAGATTCTTGGATTCTGCGCACCGATGCTCTACCATAGTGCTAAAGAGAATTCATGATCACAAGAAAGATAGTTGATTTGAGCTCGATAGTGAAGTAGAGAATTCTGCGCACCGATGCTCTACCACAGTGCTAAAGAGAATTCTATCATGATGACAAGAAAGATAGTTGATTTGAGCTCGATACTGAGTGAAGTAAAGAATTCTGTGCGCCGATGCTTTACCACAGTGCTAAAGAGAATTCTATGATAACAAGAAAGATAGTTGATTTGAGCTCGATAGTGAAGTAAAGAAAGTTGTCTTTCTTTTTCTCTTGTCGCGAGTGTGCCATGAAATTAATATGTTTGACCTTGGGGCACTTTTGTTTATCCAATGTTAGTCTTAATTTTTATTAACCTTTAACAGGATAAAGAATCGTTTAATTCTGTCTGCATTAAGTCTCTAGATTAACGAAATCATACGAAATCGATTTGCGATTGAATGAAGTCTTTTTATAGGATTACACAATTACTGGTGAACCAGTAGTTTCCATTGTGGTCCTTGCAAACAAATGAAACAAATGGTCTAAATTGAACATAACATCATTAAGAATCCCAACCGGCCGAAGGCAAACCAGTTGGCTATTTACAAGCGTGGCCAAGGATCTTATCTCGGGGCTACCGTAAAACAGATCCAGTGGTCAGGGTGGGACTCGAACCCGGGAGCGGCGGATTACAAGTCCGACACTCTAACCACTCTAACCACTCGGCCACACGGCCACACTGCCACACTGCCACACTGCCACACTGCCACACTGCCTCCTCATATAAAATAATTCGTACCGTATTATAAAAAACCTCGTTGGACTCAAATCCGTACTATTACTGTTGCTACCTTCGTTTCTCTGGTGACAACTTTCGTTCGTTCTTCTTTCGTCAGTCTCATCTGAAGACTACCGCTAATCGGTTGTAATTTCATTTTTCCCCATCCTTTTTAATCCTTAGATGATCAATAATGGTTTGGATAAAGTGTTGGTGTTAGAAGATGATGTCCGATTTGAACCCGATTTTCGGAATCAGCTTCAAGATCTACTCCAAGAGGCAAACGCCCTGTCGAGCGAGTACCCCTGGGAACTAATGTGAGTTTAGACTTTCCGAGTGTTTTAACTAAGTTATTTTCCTCCCGGAAGGAAGCGGGGGATGGTGGGTCTCACTTGGGTGTTACTAGTCCTTCACAGTGGTCAATAACACAAGCTCAGTAACTCAAGGGCCTTAGCTGACTCAGCAAAGCTGACGGTTCGAACGCCTTCTTTGGGTCATTTGTTAATTATGTTGCCTTGTCTCTCCCAGTTATATAGGGCGCAAGAGATTCCACAGTAATGCTGTTACAATGGTTCCAGGAGCCTCGGCACTAGCTTGGGCTGAATATACTTATTGGACGTTGGGGTATGCCATTTCATTACGAGGCGCCCGCAAACTTGTGTCTGCGAAACCGCTGGAGAAAATGGTCGCCGTGGACGAGTTTTTACCTATTATGTTTAACAAGCATTTAAAGTAAGTACGATAATATAGGCGCTAATTCTGGGTGTAAAGTGGACAATCCATTCTTGTAATATATCATTGTCATCATGGCCTCCCCTCTCAACCCGAGATATCGGATATTTTCGGTAGAAAGGTCATTAAATAAAACATTTTCAGAGGCAGACCAACTTGATGATGAGAATCTTACAACTTGATTTTCGGTCGGAATATTAGTAATTACAATCTTAAATTATTTTTAGGAAAACGACGTGATTTACACGTACGGGATTATACCTGGTGAGAAAGAAATCTAGACCCTACCCTCTCAGGGGAGGGTCTAGATTTTTCAGGGACCTTCTGGCAAATAATGGATTCTTAAAGAGAGTAGGCTTCAAAAATAACATTTGCTATTTCATCCGTTGTTGTTTCCTCTCGCCCTATTTGTATTCTTTCGTCTCTTTTTAAATTTTATCTATTTTTTCTTCTATTTCTGTTGCAGATCGGAGTGGGCCAATCACTTTTATCCCCGTAACCTTGTTGCCATGACAGCAGAGCCCTTACTTCTGTACCCAACTCATTACGTGGGAGATGAAGGGTACTTCAGCGACACTGAAACCACCGGCTTGATTCCGCCAGAACTACAACAAACCGACACGCTTAAAGGAAAACTTGAACTTTGATATTAACTTTAAACGAACGTATTCCGTTAAAATTTACCCCAAGAAATGAAGAGAAAGCGATACGTAGCATACTTTCAAGTATTGTTTTTAAGCAAGGGTCACATGTTCACGTCTAAGTTACGTTCGACGAGTAGAGCTAAGCGTTCTGATGCCTTACGGTCGAAATTAATTCACTGCCGTTAAGCAATGTTGCGATTTTCAACTCAGCGTTGCATACTAAAAACGATCGTCGCTTTCGCCTATAGTGTTGCATTCAATTAGTTATTAAGTGACGCAATTCGCGTATCACATTTCACACTTTGTTATGAAGTTCAAGAGGAATATCAATACTTACATTATATATAAGGATTATTGAAAGAAATTCGAAATTTTATAGCTATTTTTCATGCCCCAAATCGAGCCCTTATCATAGTTTGCAGTGTTTGCGGCGCAGAACAGATTAAATATTTACGTCAAAAATTGTGAAAATTTTAAAATGCTTTATTTTGCGAGTGAAAATTTATGGAGAGAATTTTTCAATAAATAATTGGATGAAAGTATCTCAGTTGTCACAAGTGAAAACTCTCTTCTTAGTATTGGTTCTCAAGAGTAGCAGCACTGACGAGATTGAAGTTTTATAGTTCTTGTCCCCACCCACTGACCCCAGTTTGTGCCGCGTGTTGAGAAGTTGAGGGACCCGTCATTGAGGAGGATGAGGGTGGGGGAGGGTGGAGGGCTTTTGGTGGTTTCACAATAACATTTACGTGATTTCCCTATATGGTTTGTGATATTCATATGATCACCCCTCATTGGCAGTTATTGGCAGTCAATTTTCTATGGTCTCCCCCCCCTTTATACTCTGTATACCCCCCTCCGTTCCCCCCGAAACCATGTGATCCCTTCCTGACGATTAATGATGACTGGTGAAAACGTTTAATTTAAAGAAAAAGTTTGCCAGCCCATTGGACAAATAGAAAGACAGATTGACACAAAGACAGAGTGAAGAAGACACAAACGTATGGACAAACAAATGGATCAACAAAGATAGACGTCAAGCCACACAGTCACAATGATGTGTAAGAAACTGGATTATACAGGTCATTTAAGACGTGGGTGGGGCCAGGAGGGAAAAGATGAGGGTCTTGTTTGTGACCTTAACACAAACCCTGTAAAACTAGAGTCTTACTCTAGCACACGTCTCTAGGAGAGTTGATAGGAAGGTCGCAACAAGAAAACTAAAATTTTGTTCAAAAGAAATGAAGACAAGCTAAGGATCTTAATGCTATAGATGATGGCTTTCTGTGAAGTTTCTTTTGAACTCTTCAAAGTTATCCTCTTTGATTGATAAATGAATGCCCGTGAAAAACTGGCAATATTCGTGCAAATTATGTCTGAAATAAAAAGAAAAAAAAAATAGTAAATTTAAATAATCTTGTAGATAATTCTCCATTTACAAGTCACTGTAATGGATTACAGATACATAATCTGTGACAATCTGTTTCCAATGACTTTGGATACAAGGTTGTGGGAAATGTTGGGCAAAAGTGCTGCTGTTTCTCCTAGATGGAATGCAAGTCCATTAAGGTTTACTCCATAGCCCTCCTCCCAATGATTTTGACTGGGTTCCTTGACAGTTTTCTGATCTTGACCAGGGCTTAAACCAAGACCCTTTGATCTGGAGTGTTGCTGGGAAGTTTTTAATGCAGTGTCCCCAACACCCATTAATGAAATGTTCCATGCACTGTTCAATGACTCTAATTTTAGAGTTATGCCTACCTATTTCTCCCATTTCCCTTATTTTTTTCTTACTAGTAGTACCTACTGAAAGAGAATTTACATATTATGTTATAGCCCAGTCTGTCACATGGACAGTAGCAAGGAAACACAATGATGAAGTACTTACATCATGAGAAGAACTTTAGAAAGCATCTCTTTGGTGACAAGCAGATGATGAACATATGCCCGTGTATGATTCGTACAGCAGTAACATGTACAGCCACTAACAAGAGGAGTGAAGTCTGAGCTATACCTTAATGAATGAATGAATAAATAACTGTATCATTGAATATCCACACCAGAGTTTTTCCATGTTTTGAGGTTGATAATTTTTATTTTTGTATGTTAATTTATTGCATTTGTATTTTTAGAGGACCTTACTAAAAACCCCCTTTTAATAACTGGAGGGCACTCTGTGGTATAATATCATAATTAACAATATTAACATTATCAATATCATCATCACCATTATCATTATCAATATCATTATCAATACCATTATTATTATCATTACTATTATCAATAAAAATAATGCACAAATTAAAGAAATGAATAGAAAGAAAAACGTTGAAAAAATGAACTAAATCATCAGTCTCTGGGAGGCAAAGTCACACCTTAAATTCTTTCAATTACAAAAGACAGTCTTACCTTACATGATTGAGATTTATTTCATACATTGTTTCACCACCATCTAGTTCTTTTTCATGTGAACTTTTTTGTTCTCCTTCTATTCTCTCTGAAGTTGAGGGTGAATAGGTGAGCTCTGGTTTGAACCTTTTTCTGCTCCACTTAATATCCAAAGCACATCCTCTCTCTGCTACTTGACAAGGATAGGTGTGATAATTAAGGGCAAAATATTCAATCAAATACTAACATCTGTTTTTCTTACTCCCACAAACTATGGGGTCTTGTGACAACTTGGGAAGTCTCAAATGAAAAGTAAGTCATTTGCTTATTCTCCCATTCTGTGCACCCAAACACAGGTGGTGATAATGTAACAAAAACTTACCAATGAAAGAAAAAAAGGCAGACAAAAACAAAAAGAAAAAAGACAAACTAATGCTACATGTATTACAGTCACTGATAATAGGGCTGACACCTGCCAAGTGGGGTAGGCGAGAACATGTAGGTCTGCATACCAGATTAACTTGCATGGCTCTCTTAGCTTTAAAAAGCTTTTGAATCAGGTTCCCCTGACCCTACTGGGTTCAAAAGTAGCTTGCAGACCACTTGAGTTGCCACTTGAGTGGGCATAGGGTACAAATGAGCCACTTGTGTGACGTGACCTTGGGAGCGAAAATTCATGAAATAAAATTAAGCACAGCCAATAATAAAAATAATGCTTTCTCTGCGGGTTTCTCCTGTGAAAATATAGCATTTTGCTTGTGAACACATCATGTAGTATCCCAAGCCAGGACTAGAACCTAAAATGGAATTCTTTATCCAGATCTTGCCATCTATCACTTGGCCCTTGCTTCCCCTATAAACCTAATATACATGCTCCATTAAAGAATAATAAAGATGGAGGCTGCAGACAGAAGCATTGTTCTTTGTTCTTTCCTGAGGAAAGTAAAGGATATCATGAATCAAAGATATCAACTCCACATTCCACGGCCAACACTACCTCTTCTGAAAAAGGGCAAGAAAGAGAAGAGGAAGAAAAAAAGCACGACATGCAGTCATAGTTTCTTTACCCTAACAGTACTTTTCTAACAAAACAGATGTGTGGTGGATTTGAACTTTTACACCCTAACATCAGTATGAATATTCTCCATACTGTTCTCTAATAAACACTTCCTAAGGTGCTCAGAAGGACAATTTGTTTAACAATCAAGTGAGAGCTTCTTTAGTTGGTGATCATTTCCTCTATTCTTGTGATGTACATGTGTAATTTGGGGGTGATATTGTTAGGAGAAGTTAGGTTCCTATCACTCTTTGGGGTCAAGGTGTTAATTAACATGTAGATAGGGGGTAGGTTTCTAAAGAAACTGTGGTGGTGTGTCAGTGGGGTAACAAGGTAATTTGGTTATATCAACTATTAAGTAGAAATTGTAAATTGGGCACCATAAAGAGTTAAAAAGCTGATGTTTAGAGCATTAGCCCTTCATCAGAGTGAATCACAATTTACAATTTCAACTCAGTTGATATTACCAAATTACCATATTAACATTGACTCAGAACCAAAGCACTTAGTATCTGTTGTTTAAAAGAGTGATTCAGAAAAATTCAAGGAAATTTTATGAAATATTTCACAGTATATAAGGTTAAACTTTAATTTCCAGACTTGACTGACATGCGCTTTCACCTGACAATCAAAGATCTCAGTGCACAATGTATGCGCATATACAACAGGTTATCAGTGCAGGTTAACCATATATACTGTGAAATATTTAATAAAATTTCCCTGAATTTTTCTGAACGAACTTTCAGGAAAGTGTTATCATAGAAACACCAACCAAAATCCCTGAGTGAATTAAAGATGGGACGCACAGCAGTTACTTTTGCCTAATTGTTATCTTGCACAAGTTGAATTTTTTTTCACAAATCACGATAAATCTGAGAGTCCCATGTTATAGAAGAAAGAAGTTATCACAAGGTGCTTATGATTACAAATAATATCACCTAAGGCTTTGTTTTATAAAAAGCAGAAAGAAAATCAATAATTCCCACCTGGAGATCCAACACCATGAATCAGTCGGGGCTTATCATCAGGTAAAAATTCCTAAATATGAACACAAAACTGACATCAGGCAACATCAGTACTCTGAACTAACATACTCTCGTGCTGTAAGTTGCAAACAAAGTAAAAACTCATCTGTTGTTAGTTCAGGATCTTAACTTAAACCAAGCACCCAACCCGCAAACATTAGGACTTATGTGACAAATAAACTTAATAAAAAAAAATTCACTTTTGTCCTTAGATAATGAAAAACAATGCCTGAAAATAATTATCAAGACTGTCAGTAATAATTGTTGCAATTATGAACAAGTACTGACCAAAGTCTTCTTCAACAAAGCACACCAATTACACACACTAGAACTGAATCCCTCAAGAACAAAACCTGCAAAGAGAGACAAACCATCATCTCCTGAGTTGAATAATTTGTTGACTGAGTGTAGCTGGCCTAGGAATATGGTCTTTAAAGTTTCTTTCCACAGTTGGAAGACTACATGTTCCATAACACAAAAGATTATTTTACAAATAATTAGTTCTATGGATGACAACATTTTTTTTTCAACCTTGCAAATAATCTTCCATTTAGTGTGACTCCTTCTGAGCTGGACCCAGGATTTGGTGAATGGGGGGTTCAAATAAATGTTTGCCGAAGGCAGACTATCCTAGAATGTCAGGGCACATGCTCTTCTCTGAACATGTCGAAATTTAGGTTTTTTAAAAGGGATAGAATTAATGAAGACTGTTTCGTGCCTTTGGGACAATCTCTGATTTTCCCTATTTTAAACATCCATTATGTCCACCAATTATAAGTTTTTTGCCAGAAAGTGCAGGTGCTTTTAAACATCTTCATTTAAAGGTTTGACTGAGCTATTCAAATCACCTTTGGGTCTGCCCCAGTCCTTTTCTGTACAACTAAGTGACTCACTAAAATGAATACCAACAAAGGCATCAAAAAAAGTTAGCCTACTGGTAAATTTGACTCTTCAAATATATGGAAGCATGGAAATTTTCCTGGTTTCAGTTTTTTTTCAGATTTTGCAGATAGTGGTACTTCTCAATTTGGAAAATTAAGGTCCTTCAGAAAATAAATCCTTTATAACAAATCAGCACCAAAATTTACTTCCTTCAGTTTAATTAAGAACATGGCATTTGAATCAACCTTCCATCTACATTCAGTACTGTCAGTATGAATCAAAATGGCCAGCAACAGTATCTTTTTTATACCTGCAACTGGTCTCTTTGATGTTTCTTTTGCAGATCGTATTCTTTGTGTCTCTGAGCTTGATCCTTCGATTACTCCTACTAAATTGCATGATATCAAGCTCTGCATGAAATAAAAAATTATATTGTAAAAGAGCCGAAAAATAATCTCTGTTTTGTTCATAACTTAAAAGAAGGTACAGGATGAAAAGACAAAGCCATAGAAAAGGAAAATGCAGAGAATTAACCAACCTTACTTTTTGCCTTTTCCTCAATACATTGGTCAAGAAATTTTAATGTCCGATCAACAGATTTATGAATTCTCTTTTCGGTCTGTCCTGATGCAGGAATTGTATCACAAAGACATTCAGCCATGTCAGGTTTGAATGATTCAAGCACTGCTTTGAACTGATTCACATCCACCTGGAAATCATCACAAAAAGATGCTGTAAGTTATACAATGTACATATAATGGAACACACATTTTCAAGTAAATTTCTGGGATAACCATAACACTTACTTGTCTTGTAAGTTGATGGAAATCTTCTACTTAAAAGCATCACAAGGTTTTCAACTTTCAAATTTACTTTATTTAGCACTCAAGTTTTAGTTACAATATTAGCATAAAAAAACAGGAAAGGATACACATGTAAAAATTTAAAGGTAACAGTGTTCCCTAGTTCTCGCATGGAGGCTAAGAAAACCACGAGGTCATCGAGTGAGCCTCCATCTCTTATGGATTCACATAGAAGAAACTGGGAGTAGAGGGACATATTACTAACACCTTCATATATTTCAGGACAATATCTTCAATAGGGGGTTGAAATGAATTCTTTTTTGTTCATCTGCTCAAATCAAGTTTTTCCAAATGCCCTAAGTAGCATGATGTTGTACCAGATCTCCAGAAAAAAACTATTTACAACTATGCCATGAGTGTAAATGGTAATTAGCTAACACTGGTGTGTATTGAAGGAAAGCAGTTCGTTGGGTGTAGCATGAATGGAAAAATTTTCATGGTTCACCAACATTTGCATTTTACAGAAGCTGTTTCAAGTCTGCCAGGTGCATCTCCACATCAAAATCAACTTGTCCTTATAAACTCTAAAAAATCAGCTAAATGTGTCTTGAGCTGGAAGAAATGCCTTAAAAGATGCAAGAATGTTGATATTTAGGAAAGCCCAATTGGAAAATGTCCTCCTAACATTGAACAACATTCAGTAACTGAATATAAGAGGGGCAAAAGGCAAGAGGTGTGACCAGTTTGGCCTGTTACCCTCTTCTTAACTTACATTCAATCATTTATCTGGTATTCCTGGATTTATGATATTTATCTTTGGGTTGCCTAACTTTTACTTTTTTCAAAACCTTAACAGTTGATGATGTGCTTCACTGTATTCACAACTTCTGAATTGATTACATTTGATTAAGCACCTTTTTGCGGCCACCTGGTGTCCATACAGACACAGACTTCTCTTCATTGTAGCCTTCACGTATTTCTTGACCAGGATCTTGAATTGATAAGTATGTAATGAATCCCTATCATAAAAATTAAAAAATGTCACTGATACATGTGTGTTAAGTTTGAACTTGAGGCAATGTTAAGTACATGAAGTCACTTGGCAAACTTCTTAGAGGAAAATCTAAGAGGCCATGAATCTAATCTACATTGTACATGTACTTCTTTAGAGGTTCTGATGCATAACTAAAAAAATCTTTGTGGTAAAAACTTAACCCTATAATTCCAATAAGTGATCTTGAAAGAAAGTATTAAGCAAACAAGTGATGAGTAAATAAGAAAAATATCAACAAACCCTTGAACTCCCAGAAGTGATTAACAAGTAACTCCACTCTATGATATCCGTACATTATCCAGCAAACAGGTAATGAGAAATTATACTCAAACTAATCAGGTAGAAGTTGTTATCTAGATCTAACACCAAATTCTTGTAACTAATTTACAATGAAATGTGTTGCAGTTAGAGGGAAGAATTAACAAGCAGATATTGGGAGTTAAAGGGTTAAGGGGTTATTACTTGATCCAATACCAAATTCTCCCACCTAACATCATAAGAATTATAATTTATGGCAGAAAGTGAGGAGAATTAATGATGAGATCTTGAAGTGAAAGGGTTAAGAAAAATACATCACATTCACAAGGCTAAACCAAAAACAATACCTTAGTTCTTTTTTGTTTTGTTTTTGTTTTTGCTTTTGTTGGTGTATTACCTCAAGTAGACTTATCATAAAAGAAAGTGTTGCTTCACTCACTTGAAGTCCTAAGAATGGCTTTATTCCATTGTGGCTTGACTTATTAATTGTCTCAATTCCTGGCTGATCAATCCTATGAAAGCCCACAACAAATGTTAAATTATCAGCCTGCAGAGTTAGAGTACTTAATATACCGTTGGATTGCAATTTTCAGTAAGTGAATAATCTGTGTGAAGTATATCTTATAGCCTTGAAGTAGTTGTTTTCCTAAAACTGTATATGGTCTTAAACCAGGAGCCCAGGATTCACATTTGAACTTGGGAAAGAATTCCATATAACCCCATACATTAATTATGCATTCATTTCATAAAGACTAAATATAAAGGTTTCTTTGCAACACTGTATGCATAATTAATGTATGGGGTTATATGGAACTCTTGCCCTGATGTTTTATTAACTTCACCCCACTCTGGCCCCAAATTCATCTTGACAAACTGAGCTAAATGTAGCTGTCCTAATTTAGCATGGTTGTGCGCGCATTTAATTCATCACAGCCCTATAACACATGTAGGTTCGATTAGGCTTACCAACTACTCACATGGTTTCAAGAGATAAATGAAGAATGGATGGTAAATTTCCAATCGAGTCTAGAACATCCATGGTTAGGTGAGGTATTGCGCCTCCACGAGAGTAAAGTAAACAACAAGGAGTCTGGATATCCTGATTTTCTATGCTAAGAACACCGATTCTAGTTCTCTGAGGCTTTTTGCGCACGGAAAAATTCATGTCCTTTGAGTGTGTTGTTCTTTTAGGTTTCTTGGGTTAGAAAGGAATACTACGTTGTATAATTCCTGTCTTGTACCCCAGCTGTCAAGACGATAAATGTCGCCGTAATCCTTTTTAATCAAAGCACGAAATAATATTGCGGGAAACATGATGTGCAAATCTTTAGAAAGGTCCCTCACTATCAAGGGTGAATAGTAGGTAAAATAGGTCTTTTTTCGCAAAAGACACCATACTGAACTTACTAAACCACACATAATGTTGAAAATTACCGCTGACCATAAAACTTACAAAGGATTAAATATATAATTTTTCCCTCTTAGGACAGGGGTGGCCGCGTGGCCTAATGGATAAGGCGTCCGACTTCGGATCGGAAGATTGTGGGTTCGACTCCCATCGTGGTCGTAATGTTTTGTATCTGTCTTGTTCAAGACCTCACTTTTAAATTTCATTTCAGTTGACCCAGTCGGAATCAACTTTGATCAATATACAATTAGTTTTGGTAATCGCATGGGGCCGAGTAAAATTAAGGATTAATATCACGCGTGTTTTCGGAAGTTGCTGAAATTGCCTGAGTCGCTGCGCGAAACCATATGATTACTTGTTTATAATTTAAGGGGCAAAATGTTTTCTTACTGATCTCGCGCAAAACGGGACGCCTTTGTTACAAAACAAACAGAAATTTCTTTACCTTGGCAGCCGTTGCTAAACGATTTTCAGCCAATCATTTTCAAGTAATTTTGCCCCGCGCAATTACAAAAATTAAGAAAAAAAATGCCTTCTGTCTTGACCAATCACAATTCAGTAATTTTGCGCCTAATACGATAAATAAATAAAATCACATATAAACTCCCATAAAAACAGAATTGTATGAATGATTGAGTGGTTAATTACGTTCTGTAGTCGTGTTTGCCAGCAACGAAATTCGTTTGCAAGAGGGGTTCTATCATGAGGAGCATTCAGAAAAAGAAGTATGGCGGTGAACCCTCGGTAAACCCTTACATCAGAAAAATCTACTTTCACATCGAGGTAGTGGAGCCCACAGAGGCTCTGGCGTCATGATTCAAAAAAAAAAAAAACTGATCTCAAGTGCATGCAGTATGTACGGTTTCCCCCAGGGTCTATTTAGTTTAGGTTACGCCGAAGATGGCGTGGGTTTTAAAATTTTACGGCGTACCGGCGTGCGATCGACAAGATGTCGGCGTACTGAAGCGAATGATGAAGGCAATACTTGGCGTAACCGGCGTACCCTCACTAACCTATAAATAAATAAATGTATGATGTTTTTGAGTGCATATATCTTTGCAGAACGTCTGTTACAGTACAATACTTGTATCCAGGAGCATTGGCAAGCAACCGCTCTAATACCTGAGCGTTCGAAGGCGAATTTGTTCTCTTTCGGAAGAGTGGAAACCTGCGGCTAAGAAAGGCACGCGCGCGCAGTGCACACGCATTTGTTTTTAACTCTTTGCGGGTCCCCACTGACGATACCATAACTGAGGGCGCGCTTACTCACGCCCCGTGTTTCCTCTCTTTTTCAATGTGGGCAGTGGATTATTGCTTTTAGCTGAGTTTCAGTGAATGCTCGTAGCTCGCGAGCTCTTGATTGGAAGAAACACTAGAACTTGCTGTCATGAGTGTATAATATTCCGTACTCATATTTTCCAGAACAAGGTACTGACCAGTGACCGAAACGGTCGTAGAACTTGGAATCCCCGCCTCCATCCTAAAAAAAGGGTTTAAGAAAATGCACACTATTGATCAAGACTTTCTTTTACGTTGTGGCTCCTAAAAGAGCCGTTTTTTTGTTGTGGAAGTTAGTCCTCGACAGCTTCATCCTCGTCATCATCCCCACGCATGATATATTACTCCAAGGTATCCAAGTTCTCTACCATAGAAAGGATGGTATCTTTAAGGACGCGGTATGCATCAGAATTGTCTGCAAATCTTCGTCGCGTATCCCCGTGGTAGCTATTGAAGGAACACGAACATTCAGCAACTGTTCACGATGTTCTTGCAGCGTTTCCAGTAGATCAAAACGCTCATCTCGAATGTGGTTGCCGTGATTGGTCACAGTCGCAACAACTTTAACGACATTCTCTATTGTCTGGAGAAAACAGTCAACGGAAGATAATCAATGTTTGGCTAAACCATCCTGTACCCTCGACCTAACTGTCACCTCACATATGGGCCACGGTGGATAAAGGTACGCCATCCCGAACAACTTGACAAATCCGCAGGCCAAACTGGTCGTTGCCCGTGATGAAACTGGCGTTCCCTGTCCGATTCCTGTCGCTTCCCCCGGGATTTAC